GGATTAGGTTAAAACTAGTACTACGGAAATTAGTTTCCTGGGGTGGATTAGGTCTAATGAAGCAGCTGACTCACTCATTCTTCTTCTTCTGCTGTGCTGCTTGCTCTCGATTGGAGACGATGCATCATTGACAGGCTAGAAGCACATCCCAGGACACCGCAAACAACTTCACTTGCGAATACGAGTAATCTCCTCTAAAAGCCAGCAGCTTCTACTGAAATAAGTCCGGATCATACGCCAAGGATTCATATTCCTGCTCAGTGGGAACTGTTCCTCTAAGGAGAGCGAGGCCTCGGAAGGCATCTTGTGTTAAGTGTCTATTTTCTTTCAAAATCAATAGTAGAACTTTAATAAAGTGCAGAAAACGGAAAAGACATCAGCAGAAAGTCAGAACAAGAATATGTCCAATCCTATATTACAAGAACCAATCCGCATCGATCTCTGACATCATAACATAATTAATCAAAATAAAATGAAAAGCAGCTCAGAGTGACAACTTTCATAGGCCGGCAATCAAGTGCGATTTGCATTCTACTGGTGAATGAACAAAACAGGTTTTGAATTGAAGGAACGACAAACAGTGCTGCATGGTTGTGCCAATAGGTTATTAGTAGTTGTCGATATTATGTTTATGCTGTTGATACCCGCATGTCCAGTGCGTTTCTGAGCGAGACATAGGGCAGAAGAAGTGTTGAGCCTATGTAGCAAGAAGCAGTGAAGCGAATTAAATAAGACAGAAATAATACATACAGGGCTTCACAAAAGTAATTTTTGGGAGTTTTGACGGGACGTGGTTTTTGCATTCCGCCCAGCCAATCAGACACAGGAACCTTTTTCTCCCACGACAGTCCCTGCTCTCTAGCAGGGACTGAAAAGGGTGTAAAAAAGGTTCTCTAGAACTAATTTAGTTCCTGGGACTTTTTAGTGTGAACGCAACTAAATCGTAGTTCTCAGGAACCTTTGTGGGAAAAGTACTTGGTGTGAGCGCACCTAAAGAGAATATATAAAATTTAGCTACATTTTTATCTGGGTAACGTTACTGAGCCTATTTATATCCAAACTACACATCTCTACAAAGCTAAAAAGGACTGATGTAGACTAACATCAATCAAAGTCAATCCAACTTGAGGCTATACTGTACTGTAGGGATGATGAGATTATTACAACCCCCTTTACACCGGAGACAGACAAAGAGAAAACTACTACTTTCCCAGCTCTAGAGCTTAAAAAGACAGTGTTTAGATATGATTTGGTGTGATCAAAGCTCCTCCGTGTCTGCACTGTGTCTGCACTGTGTCTGCACTATCTACTCATTAAGTTGTTAGACTTGGATGAACCTCCACACAATGTTTTAATTCTCATTATAGAGCAGATCCCTAAATTGACAGGTAAACAAAACTCTTCTCATTCTCAGTCATTGCTGCAAGCGAAATACGAAAAGAAGTAGAATGATGATTTAAAGGTCATTGCTCTTAGAGTTTTTCCATCTCAAATATTAAACACACGCAGCATATAACCAAACTAACAAAGCATGCAATAACCTTTTTCTTTCTTTTTCTTGGAATGCTCATTATAACATGGCAGCCGGAGCCTAAATCAACGAGCTGTGCAGCCACATTAGAGTTAGACTTTGAACCCAGATGGACGCATTCCTTTCCAGACAGCAGCTTTCCCCAAATTCAAGTTCTTTTTCCAGGCTGGTGATGCCAAACGAATGGTAAATGCATGTTCATGTCAGTAAATGTTCAAGCATCTGTCTGTGGGCATGTGTTTGTCTCCATGTGTCTGTGCATTTTCTGCTCTATATTTCCACTTCTGTGTTTGAGTCTGTCTGTGTGTTCTGTAGTTTGTGTGTGTGTTTGGGTTTGTGCAACTCACGCACGCTGCCAGTGGGCACAATCTGCAAAGCCAAGCCAAGATGGAAACCCGGGACTTCTGGATAGTCTTGATAAGCATAGGTTTTCTGTGATGATTTTATAACTGTAGCTGCCTCTGCCTTTGCCCCTGAGACTGAACTCTGCTAAATATCCATAATCGATACTGTACTCTGTGCAAACCACGCAGCAAGACACTGATTCTGCCTGCCGTGTCATAGATACTGTCCCAATTAGAGTCACTGAAACACTTTTCTTTGAAGCCATGGTTAAATTACTTTTCAATATCAAAACAGACACTTAGCAGAGTGATACTTCCAGACAGAGAAACAAGTGAAAGGCTGTAAGAAAAAGAGTGTGTGCACTGCATACATGTGTGTAAGGGTTAAGGGAGCGTCTAATGAAAAAAAAAATGGCCAGATGCCAACTGGTTGAGTGCTTCCAGTATCAAGTGTGATGGTATGCATATGTATGTATGAGCGTTAGTATGACACTAATAAGGACAGGGTTATGGGTGTTTAAGATGGTATGCATTATCAATGTATCTGTATGTGTGATTGTGAGGAGGGGGTTGGGGGTCTTTTTGATCATGACTTAATCCATGGCCATATACCAACATCACAGACAA